GTGAGTGCCAGAATCATGCCCTTGCTTCTGCCAGTCTGATTTTGCCATCGATTGTTTTTCCTTTCCCGCTCAAACATCCGTAGTTACCGCTGCCTTTGGCAGCTCCTAAACCGGGGGCCAAGTCCCACTAGCAGCGTTGAGCTACCTAAACGCCTGAATGTGGACGTGTTTGTGGAGAAGTGCAGTTCACGAAACTCAACATCATTTCTGCACATCTCAGCAATAGCGTCCAGGTTCAGGCGTTGAGGTAGCTGAACGCTGCTAGTGGGACTTGCCCCCGGGACCAATGGTTGGGGTTTATTCACGTCTTCTATCTATCCTTCCCATTTGTCTCATTTTCTATTTTTCCACAAATTTCTCAATTTATGCGTGTCATCCTTCCACAAATTTCTCGGTATCGTTCCAATTATTTCTTTATTTATTTATTTATTATTTAAATTATTTATTTATTTCGTTTTTTAATTTTTCCGTTCCAATTTTAACGGATGCGCCGAAGGACTTCTTCCACAAATTTAAATTTCAAGCTTTCCCTCTTTTGCCCCAAACTGAGCGTACAATGTGCACCATGTGCAGTCATCAGGCGGGAGAGAGAGAGTTCTCACCTGCCAAGAAAATCGGGTTACCTTCATGAATCTGGTCGTGTTTTAATCAGATATGCATAACTCGCTTCCAATCCCGATTTGATGCACTTATGCACCTCTCCTTAAACACGACCAGATTCTGGTCATTCGTCTTGCCTGTGAAACCTCGCGCCGGCTAGACTCACGTATAGTTTTTTTTTTTTGGTTTTTTGTTTTTCTCAGACTCACCGAATCAGCCACCCAGTCTTCCCCTGGGACGATCGCTGGTCGGTGGTACACAGCCCAGTCCCTTCGACCATGCCTATTTCTAGTGATCTGGGCACCAAGTCCCTCTAGCAAGGTTGAGTTTTCTCAACGCCTGAATCCGGACGCGTCGGTCGAGATGTGCGGATGGGAAACTCAACACGATTTCTGCACATCTCCACAAACACGTCCAGATTCGGGCGCTGAGTATTGCTGAGGAAACTCAACGCTGCTAGTGGGAGGCCAGAAACAGGAACGTCTTCCAAGGTCTCTTCGAAACCGGATAAATCCGAAACTCCGTTTGTTTTTCGAAACTGGTGCGAGGTCCCATTAGCAGTCAGAGAGAGACAGAGAGACACGGAGACAGAGACACAGATACACAGAGAGAGAGAGAGAGAGAGAGAGAGAGAGAGAGAGAGAGAGAGATGCGTGTACGCATAGGAAGTGAGGGCAGAGGATGCCCTAGTGGACGTTGTGGACGAGCGATGGCAGGTATATTCACACGCACCCACACACGACGGTGATGGGACTCAGTGTTGGTGTGAAGGAGATCGATGCAGATTCACACACACACACACACACACACACACACACACAGAGCAAGAGCGAGAGAGAGAGAGAGAGAGAGAGAGAGAGAGAGAGAGAGAGAGATGCACGATCGGGGCAGACGGTTCGTCGGAGGAAGGTGACCTTGAATCGCCCCAGGTTGGCGATAACTCGAGGACGAACAGCGTTGAGATGGATATTCGCATACATGCACACTTGTCGATGGTAGCACGTGAGTGAAGAACGTCGAGGTGTAATCTTTCGCCTTTACACGCACACACACTCACACACACAAACACACGCAGATGAAGACCGAGATCGA